GAGACATATAAAGTATATACGTCTCTGTGTAGAGTAAAGAAAATTCGTTCATTTGAAAAAACATATATCATCAGTGCTCAGAATCAGGACATGCACTGCTACCAGACTATGTTACCCTATTTCAATTAAACTCACTGTCTAGAAATATATGGCTGGATACCATCTACATAATGTTATCTTCGGGCATAAACTGATTCCTCAAATCTAATACAAATATCTATTCCCATTGGCCAGGTGTAAGTTTGTCTAACTCCGAAATAGGGATAGGGGTTCAAGAGTTGAGTATGTGCATTAGTGCACATCGTGACATGAGGTCCGCTAAATTAACCGTCAAGCAGAGAGCAGCAAGTGATAGATTAAACGTTTGTCTATGTCGGGGGACAGAGCTCCATTTATAGTTAACGTCAAAGAGAGAGAGAGAGAGAGAGAGAGAGAGAGAGAGAGAGAGAGAGAGAGAGAGAGAGAGAGCAGCAAGTAGCAATGTTAACGTTCGTCCCAGTCAGACACATCACTTATAACTTTCTAGTTTTTTCGATTGTTTAACACCAAAACAAAATGCGAGCTTGTGTTAAATGCAAAACAATCGGTTAGAATGAAGAGAACATTATATAATCTCAGAAACTGAAATAGGGACAGCAAACTACTAGTTAAATATAACCGAAATCCCAATTCTTAAACGCTTCAAATTTGCTAGTTCAATAATAGAAACGTACAAACGATACACACTCCTGCAGGTGGGGGATCGGGATAATAATATACCTGTTGTTACACACTGCAGGTATCATATGAGGCGACTAATGCGGGAACATCCTGCATATGTGGGGGTTTGCTTTGGTGTCCTCTATTATGGGACACAAAGGCGACCAAAATGAATCTGCTGCGCCCATTGCAATATGTGGGATCGTTATCGTTCTTTCTACTTCAAACTATAGTTTCTTTCCTTCGACCTTGCTTGACAACCCCTCACTTCTAGCTTGAATGTTGAGCGTTCGCTCAGGCGAGGAAGGCAATTGGCTATGTCTTCAGGCCGGGACATACTGAAGTCCTTAAAATGGTAGCTACTAAACTAGATGCCTGTTGTTTGTAAAACTTTTTTTACAATAATTTAAAAAAATTACCAATTCGGCGGCCATTTTGAAAATGTGTATTAATGTGTATTTCTTGCGCTTCAAAAAAGGCCAAAATTTCACCTTTTTTGACACTATATTGATCACTTAAATTGTCATTGTGACGCCATTCTTAATTGTAGCAGGTTCAATTTGGCTGTACAACTTTATAATGTTCAATATGATAGAAATAATATGCAACAAACTTGAAAATTATACATTATTGATATTTTTATTTAAGTTTTTAGTGTAACTGAAGCACTTTTGATTTTTGACCCCGAAAAAAGTAAAAAATAACACAAATGATAACGGGACAAAAAAAAAGGAGCACACTGACCCCCCATTTTTGTAGATGTTTTAGAAAGAGAAACGCATTTTCACTTAATTCATTAAATATTAAAAAAAAGTTAAATACCAGAACTTTTTATATCAAGCGTTTAATCCATAAAAAAATGGTAAAAAATTAGTATTTTTTCATTAAAAAATAGGGGGTAGGGGTAACTAAAATCGGCTTTCTGAATTAAAAGAATAAGATTAAGAAATTTTACTTCCATAGTTTAAAAGAAAACAATATTTTCATCAATTCTACAAACATTCATACATATCTGATAACACACTTGGAATAAATTGTATGAATTTGTTCTGCAAATGGTCAAAACCCCAAATTCACCTAAAATCACATGTTGTGTTAAATTGGTATCTTTGACGAACACACGGACATATGTATTTTTTTTGCATTTTCTACTATGCCATTAATTCCTTTTTTCAAAAATCCATATAAGAAAAAAGTTTCATACAGGAATTTTTTGACTTCTCAGAGGTGTACGTCCTTAGCGTTAAGCATTAAGGGGAATGGCAACAACTGAGTCATCCGTTATCAGTATAATGTGACCACGCTATCACAAGGAGGCAGGCACACCAACATGACCTGTCTCCTGCATACACACACGACATCACGCATACATTAAAAGCATAGAGGCACGTCCTTAAATTACCTTAGCTGTTAATAGAACGTGAAAACAAAACTAAACCAAACCAAACAAACGATACAGCTATGGCCTTCATGTATCAATTTAAGTGAGAAATATATGCCTTAACTATCAACAATGATTGATCATTTGTCGCTCATTTGGTAAAGAAGTAAATGCAAAGATAACTCGGTACTTAATGGTATCTCTACGAGACTGTTTTTTTCCAAATTGATCATTGCCTTGTTACCGACAGTTTCCTAATGTGTATGTTTTGAATAACAGCTAAGATATTCTAAACACAAACTAATGTTTTTTATTGTAATAAGCACAATTGAATATATTGATTCTACCAAAACTACAAGAGATTCACATTTCTAACACATCATTACATTTATTTTTTCTTTTGCATTTGACTGGTATAAAAACTATATATAACGTGGAGGTCCTACACTTATTTCTACTTACAGAGTATCAGGTAGCTTCATACATGCTTAGAACATGTGTATATCATTCCAAAATTCATGACATATTTTCGCTACATCTTTCGCTGAGCGAAGCGGGTGAAAAGGATATTTTTTGGGACACAGTTACGTACAACAAGTACTGTATGGTCAGTATTTTAATTACATGTAGATACTCGATATCTACTGTGCCACTGTCAATAGGTTCTAAGTTGTTACCTATGACATAATTCAGATATTGATCTAGTTATTTTGAAAGGGGGACGAGGTCCATTTTTGCTAGTATTAACTATAATGAACATGTTATAATTGTAATTTCAATGTTAACTCATTTTAAAATATCACTTAATTCGAACTCACCTGGAATATGTAGTTCACAGCTCAGCAGACAATGCTGGTTCAAATAAAACGATCGCCAACATGCTAAATATAGCAATAACAGTATATAGCCGTTTTTTTCAAGTTCGGTAATATATGAACACACTCATATGCTATTAAGTTGATATTCGTAATTTCAAAAATACTCTTCTATACATGAAGAACCAGGTAGCACTGCATGTGAGTTTTTCAAAGACGTGTTTGATCACCTGTAGCTGCTGCGTAAATGGTTGTTGGCACAATGCACAGTCAGAGATGAAATAAAGGCATTTGATTTATGCTTGCCGGGTAGTACTGCAAAATAGGTTACGCATCAGGTATTTCGTCCAGTCAAAAGACTGTCACCGTTTATCGATTTTCTATACACTTACGATGGTTTTGGGGAGAAATCAAAACCAACAACAAACAAACAAATAAAGAAAAACAAAAATGAAAAATAAATAAAAGAAAAACAAAATAACGAAAAGTCTTTTTATCATTTGTGCTTTATACAGAAGGGTATTTGTCATTTGTTAATTTTGCAACGTTTCTATGGAATTAAAGCGATTTGGGGCAATCCAAATTTAAGGACTGATTTAAAAGGATAAGAAAATCTTAACGTTTGGAAGAGATATTATGTGACCTGATGGTCTAAAAACATTAAAATTTGAGGACCGAATTAAGGTCTGGAGAAATTGAAATATTATGCAATTCTCTATTTTACATCTGTATTTATTATCCCAATGTTGGTTGTAACCTCCTTCACCTGACCATCATCATATGACGGGGTCAATTCTTTCACCTGCACCGCTGCACCGCCCAACTTATATTTATTAATTTATTTGATAACTATTTTACCTTATTGTAATTGATTTATCTGTAGAAATTGTTTTATATATATTTATTTAATAACTATTTAAACTTATTGTAATTTATTTATTTTTAGAAAGGTCTTGTTTTGTATATATATATAAATTATTGATATATTTGTAAAATAATTGTTTGTTTATTCAATAACTATTTAACATATGTAGTAAAGCAAGAAAAGACTGTGTCTGTTTTTTGTCTTGTTTATATATATAAATAAATTGTTCATAAATTGTTAATACATTTGCAATTTCTAAAAACATTTCTGTACATATTTTTGTAAGAAATTGTGGATATACTTATAATTGTATTTTTTGTTAATAACTATTAATATTTATTGAAATTGTAAATATATTTGTATTTTTGAAAAAAATAACACATTTGTGAGTTAGTTATAGATGACCTTTCAGTTTACATTTCTGTAACAAAAAAATGGAAATTTTAGATATACTTATTATTTTGTAAAATAAAATTTGATTATATGAATGATTTAGTTTAAATAATTGTTGTATATTTATAATATATTTGGTTTCTTTGTGATTATTTAGGATGATGGTAGGATTCAAATTTAAGGACCGAAATTGAAAATGTTCTTTTTATTGCATTTTTTTCACTAAACCAACTACGTCCGAAGTAGGAAAATTGTGATTCAAATTGTAAAAGTCTCATTTATTCTCCTCTACCCTTCGTCACATATCTTTACTCAAAGTCATACCTCTGTATTAAAGTTCACATTCCCGTTTACAAGCATTACTCCTCAACCCTAAGTCACATCCTTTACTCAAGATCACAACCCAGTGTTATAGGTCACATGCTCTTTTTCCTAGGTAATCGTGCCTACCTAAAGTCGCCATGGTGTATAGTATACCCCCTCTTCGCACACCAAAACCGCCCACCTGTCCCTCTTCAAATTGTGTGCATATTGCGGCACATTCCTTATTGTAAGTGTGTAGTAAATACACGGTGCCAATTATCTCACTACATCATCAAACCCGTTTACATGTCGACCTTGAACGTCGATCGCTATACTCGACGACAGTCACAGATCCTTGTGTCAGAGTTAGTCGAGTCGCCACGATTGAATTGCTAAAACCGGTACTCAAAACAAAAATCACCCCGTATATCACGTGAATGATTAGGGAATCCTTATTGGTTGTTTTAATCACTAACGTCACTGGAATTCGCGCTATAAAACCATAGATACAGTGTTAACAAGATATAATCATCCGGCTCCCTCTGTACGAATACATTAGCCTAGTGAGCTCTGATTGTAGGAAACCTGTTTTTGACGTCACCGTGTGGACTATAGCTACCCGTGTATAAAGACACTAGAAAGCTATTACTGTAGGGGATTCAGGAATTTCTAACTAAACATTTGGTATGTATAAAACATTTTTTTTTGTACATAACATTGTTGAAGGCCATTTTACCCGAGTGGTGGTTTATTTCCAGGTGTAGATCATATTTCTTACAAATATTCAAAAGGCAAAATTTAAACACATATTTTGAGGACTTTCGTGTAAATAACAGTCTGGAAAATCCGTAGCATTTATATCTACTACACTGTGCAACACAAAACGTCATAATAAATGACATCTAATTGTAATTTATATCAGTATGTATAACAAACAAACCCCGGGGTTAAAGTGAGATATTACAATTCGTTTCCTGTCGTCGTCTCTTGTCTGTTCTTGTTTACCATTGGACAGATTTCAATCAAACTTGTAGGAAGCAATGCCACATCATGAGATAGGGAATGATATAAACATCCAGTATAAATGATCAACAATACAAATGTTTGTATTTAAATTTGCAATGTGTTCCCTGATTCGCAATTTACACCTAAGCTTACCAAAATATGTGTTACCGCCAACTCTACCATTATGAATTTTATTTATTTCACAACAATTATGAACCAAGTTATTTCAACTTATATTGATCACTCTACCATTAAATCTATTTGTCAATAAACTCGTAGTAATAAACACGCGAAGTAACAAATAGACACCTGCTTCAGGTGAAGATACATTAGCTCTTTTCGTGGCAATAATATTTGAAGCATGTAATCAACATTTCTCCAAGCCCATAATTATTATATTGCGTGCCTTTCGCGTCATATTCCGTTTTGTATGAGTGCAGTGCAGCGTATCTCACTAGCCAGTCAGTAAATAGCAACCGTTTGTGACAGCACCTTCAAAATCAATTTCTGTTTTGAAATCCGGTGTTTAAGTAGGTTCTATAAATATACATGAACTTCTGATCAGAGCAGTAAACGTGACTGGTTCTGGTATTAGACCTTTCTCATTTTGGGGTAGACCTAGCACGGAGCGTGGTGACATATACCTAGACAGATAAGTGTATATGGAACGTGGCGTATAGAGGATGTCAGAGTGTGTAGAAGCACCTGTACTTGACTACAAGTAAGCGAGCAAGTAACATCATATGGAGATACAGATAAGAAATTACCTTGGGATGACAGAGTGCAATAATTAGGTCACTGTGCCGTTTGACTTGACCTTTGACATTCGCTTTTGAAATTTGTTGTCCAGGGCATATCTTCTATACTATTTTACCTGGATAAAACAGATTTGGTGTGCAAGGACATCTTGCGATGGTGGAGTGCAGAGTGCATGAAGAATCTCACTGTGACCTAAACTTTTGAAAATGTTTGTACGGGGCTTATCTTCTATACTATTTCACCTAAGAGTAACCAGGTTGGGTGTACAAGGACATCTTGGGATGGCAGAGTGCAAGAATTAGGTCACTGGGACAAATGCTTTGACTTTTTACCTTTATTATTGAAAAAAATTGTCTAGGGAATATCTTTTATGCTATTTCACCTGGAGTAACTGCTTTTGGTGTAATATAATGTAAGGACATCTTGGGATGGAAGAGTGCAGTGTGCAAGAATAAGGTCAGTGTGACCTATGACTTGACCTTTGACCTTACATTGTAACTTTTGAAAGTGTTTTTCCAGTGCATATATCTTCTATACTATTTCAACATTTGGTGTACAAGGAATGACAGAATGGGGCAGATATGTGACCGTGGTAATTGATATTTTAATATCTACGTTAAGGATCTCACGCGACACGTCTTAAGTATTTTTCTAATGCTGATTGAGTTAAACGAAATATCCCGAGCTAAAATAATCAGTTGGAAGAAGTGTGTATTTGACATATGTACCAGAGTGCCAGGGATTACATTTGAAGATTAAATTTACCATTTACAAACGTCTTGGGACACGATATTTCCATATTACGAAAGAAATGTTTAACACTTACACGGTGACTTTTTATAATATATTGTAATAGCGTTAAGCTGTTCCACACATTTTTGTATAGAGGTGGTTGGACAAAAGGACGTGTATAAGCATCCCTTCGTGGCAAACTAACGTTTATAAATGTTCCTTCGCATCAGCAACATGATGGCGACTAAGCGACCTTTATTATTCTGTCATCTGTTTAAACACTAGATAAGCTACACTTTTAGACATAAAAGGAGTGTATTCACATATGGAGTTGTGTATTCTCCCGCAAAAATAACAACAGAAGAAAATAGAAATTTATTCAGTTTTCTTCTATGTTCGACTTAGTTTTTAAATCGACAGCTTTCATGGATTTGACTCCTGTTTAAATAGGGGGAGGGGCAAAATAATGTTATGCTATTCTTAGAAGACTGTTCTAGGGATCATTTCAGGGGAGTGAATTTTCGGAATTCTGTACTACTGCCATCAATTGTAGCATGCACCGAGTCTTTGTTTTCACTATAAACCAGGGTTGGAGGAGTGTGCTTTGGATTTAATTTGTTGGCAATAAAGTTTTAAAGGTTTTTAAGTCTAATTGTTCTGTTCCAAACAGTGATGGTACAAAGAAAGAATGATTTTGTAAATGTTAGTGCAGACCCGCACACGTTCGCTGTTCCACTTTAAGCGTATCGTTTGCGTAGCATTTCCGTAGCGCTTCCGTACCATTATCGTAGCATTTCCGTAGCACTTGCATAGCGTTTCCGTAGCACTTCCGTAGCGTTTCCGTAGCACTTGCGTCATTCATTAAGCGTTTGTGAAACGTTCGATTAAACATTTTTTTACGGAATATTTATCAAGACCATATTCTTTCCATGCTAAAGAAAGAGGAAGTGTGATCATAGTCACATATATATTCAAAACACTAAGAACACTGCAATCAGGATAAAGTTAAAGGATGCGGAAGTGGACGGAAATTTCCGGAGTTAGCATAATGAAAAAAGCAAAATTGTAAGGCGTATCTTTTATGTTAAAATTGAAAGGACTAAGCCAAAAGAGTAAGGGCTGGCAACTCTGCATTTTAATGCAACTACACAAACAGTCTCAAAGAAATCTTTCTGAAAAATGAGCAAATGCATTACTAACGTACTTTCAAACATAATTTAAAGAAAGTATTAAAAAACAAATAAATTAAAATACCCCTACTGTCACTATCAAAAATAATTCAAAGAAAGTATTAAAAAAAACAAATAAATTAAAATCCCCACCCCAAACTTTGTTTTGTGATTCCAGTTGATAGAAATACTATAACATTTATAAGCAATATTTTTTTTTTTCAAATTTGCTGATGGCAATTAATCCAGAAAAACCTCTTTAAAATGCGTTTGGTTTCAAGCAACGTCAATGAAGGTGAGACTGGGAGTAAATAAGTGGGCTTATACCAAAAAGAAGAAAGTCGGAAATAAACCTATAACATTTGGTTATTGATACAGAACGACAAAAGTAAATTACATTACACTGAACAAACGTTCCGTTATTCTAGGACTCATCTTTGTTCATTCGTGATGCTTGAGGCTGAAAAGAATATGATATAAACCATTGAAACAGAAGAAAAGGATGCAATAAACTCCTTTTTATGTATATTTTCTTTTCAAACATTTTAAGGGTACTGATAAATTGTCATTCTGAGGACATCACCTGTATATAGCACAACCTCATTGACATTCCAATTTAAGATGTAACGCCAAACAGTAGGACGTCTACGGGTTCCACAGGAAACAATGCACAAGAAAAAGATGTCTACATCTGGTAAAATTAGCACAATATAAGAGGAAAATATCACTAGTTTCGTTTTCGATACGAAAATTACAATTATGACTTGCAACTAGATTGTTTTCCTGAAAAGGTGGTCATTACATGTAAGTGTACTGCGTTGCATTCGAAATCTGGAATGGTAGTTTTGTCCTAGTCTGTGGCCACTGAAAAAAAAATTGGACTATGGGTGTCAGATGTTTAAATAGTTCTTTAGGGTATATAATGGTTGGGTACTTTTTGACACGTGAGTTCCAAAGATTCACAGTCGTTGTACAATTGTGCTCTACACGCAACTGAACGGAAGTACTCTGTATCTCTTGTATTTTGTCTATACATATCAGATTGACGAGGAGGAAGTAGATCAGTGAGGTAGGACGGTGATAAACCGTGAGCTGTTTTATGAAATTGAATATTCTTACTATCTTTCCGTCTGGTGGACAGACTTATCCTTCCAGTTTCTCTATATACAGTCGAACCTCATTATCTCGAACTCGTATAACTCGAAGACCCGTTTAACTCGAAGTATATAATCGGTCCCGGCCAAAACTCTTCTAAATCTTGATAAAACTCTCATATAACATCGGTCCCAACAACCTCAGTCCTACATAAAAATATCGCCTACCTCGAAGTTTCTTAAGATTCACAAGTCTATCATATATTCTTAAATTATTTGATACATATTCGACGCAGTGCTACGGTAAACATCGTTCTCATTGAGCAGCTTACGCTCGGTCATAATAACTTTAATTAAACTTATGGCATTCAAATGTGTTCGACTGCAAAAACGGCTACGGATGACGTACCACGGCAATTCAGGAGATAAATGAATGTGGTTTTAAATCAATGCATATCATGTTTATGTGGAGCAACCGCAGTGAGTTTGCTATTAGATCATATAACAGGTATTGTCAACAGAACAGAACAAATTCGCTGTCCGCTACACTAGCGGGCGTTGTAAATGGCGAAGCAGATCCGATCACTCCGGCTGGTCGGCCAGTCCCTTCAGCGACAGTAAAACATGCCGAATGCTCCAACAATGAGCTTGTCCCGGTGTCATAGTCGGTCCACACAAGAATTAAGTCAAAAGCATATTTTAAATCGTCATCTGGTTGCTTAGGAAACTACACATTTCAAGCACTGACCGAAGCACTTTCAATTTCAGAGACATTTCTGATTTTTCTATAGCTAAAATATTTTAGAGAGTATTTCTGTTTCAAAATAAGATCTGCTGTCAATTTCAAAGATAACCAATGCTTGCTAAACATACTGGTATGTTAATTGAATGATTAAAAATATGCAAAGTGGACATTTGTCGTCGC